ATATGAATTTGTTTTACCATGACTTTTGGCACTGAAACTGAAATCTGGACTAATTCTTATGACTGTTCAAAACAAATAATTTGCGTTTGATTGTTAAAATCAATACTGAGTTTCTTTCTATGTTTTCTTATAACTTGAGCCTGTGTTGAAATTCAAACTTCTTTTGAAGGAAATGTTGTCTTAATTATCACTGTTTTAAAGATCAAGCCCTATGGAATCTGTTCACCAGAACTTAGTTAATCACAGGAGTGGCTACTTAGTCACCAAATATTATTTTCTTTTGTAAATGAATAGACCGGGTCACAATGAATTTTCATTACAGTATCACTTTTAGTGTAAACTTTTTTGTATCCTACTCAAGGAAATGTTGTTGCACCTTTATCGTTATTAAGAGAAAATATAACAGTTTACAGAAACTTATAATGGGGATAATTAATATATGTCTGCACTAGAAATAGGAATATAAGCTTGTTATTCTAAATAAAAGTCATAGCAGATCTGTAACTGAAGAAGGAAGACTTCGGGTTATAAGAGCGCAGTTGCATACCAAAAATATTTGCCGTGGATATTGTGTGCTAAGCAAGGGACTAATAAAGTCAGATTTATATTAAATAACAAATACAGTATTTCACAGTTGCTTTTTTCAACTCTTCTTGTCCGCTGGAACTTTTGTTTCTTACCTAGACAGCAGAACTTTAATAGGTAAGAGCCAGAATGTGTGTGATGCTGCTTACTTTTCAGATGTATTAGTCGTAGTATTGCTCTATGAATGGTTACTGCAGTTGATAAGAAAGTACAGGGAGCAATACAGTGTGACATGGAGGCTTTCATAAGTTCCCATTTTCAAAGTCATCAAACTTAATGGTATATACAATATGTACTTCCAAAATATTCTTTCCTAACAATTGTTTGGAATGTGTGAGATTTTATACTTCCTACACTGCTGGTGGTGCTGGAGAGATTCAAGTTGTTGCATTGTAAAATCTAACATGATGAGCATGCTGACCTGCGATTGCAGCTTTTTAGTTTACTCTAAGTCTTGACTTAGACATTGACTAACCATGTAGTTGATTACAAAACACATATTTTATTGTACTTTTTCCCATAATTTGTAAAGTGAATTCTGTACTATGAGAATGACTGTCTTATTCCACTTATTTGTACAAAAAAACACGTACCAAGACCATTAACTCAGGTTGTAGTCATGCCAAAATAATAATTTGCCTTAGATAAATATTGTCACTAGTTGACAAAACATCTATGGGGTTTTTTTTGTTGTTGTTGGTTGGTTGGTTGTTTTAATCTATGAATGTTAATCGTAAGTGTGATAGTTCAATTGACAGCCACATCATGATCTTCATTCTTTGGTACTTATAGCTGCCTCTTCCTCTCACATATCCCTGATACTTCTTTTGTATCTGACCTTTCACTTCTGTGTCAGAACTTTCACTTCTGATATCTCTTGCAAGCAAGCATTTGGTACTTTCCCATTTGTTTATTCTTTAATTTATTCTAATTTTTCTTCACAGAGGCTCTGTTTCAGTGTGTCATCATCTTAGCATGGTTGTCTTTATTTTGTTCACAAACTCTTGTTTCTGAAATTGCAGCTAGTACTTCAGTGGTATTTGAACAATTTAATCATCAAAGCTGAAGGAGTTATCCTAGATGTGCATGTCTGTGGTTAAGCTCATGCTTTGGAAAATATAACAACTCCCCCAAATTTTCAACTTTGCTATAAAGTATAAATTATTTTGAGTTCCTGTGCTAACAGAAAGCTTTAAGAAGAGAATTAGAAACCTCAAAGTGTGCTGGTACAATCAGCATCCAGAATGTATAATATTCAATGCAGAACCCTTTCCCGCCCCCTCCTTCTCTCAGCATGTTGTGGTAATGTGGTTTTCTATAGCTCAATTTTTCAACTCTGTTAATTTTATCTCTTTCTTTTGTTTTTTCCTTATGCTTTCTCCATACAATCAGGAGTGAATTTTGCCATTTTTCAGTAGAGTTCAATTTCTCTTGTAAACCAATTTGGGAAGAGGGGAAAGGTATTCAGTTATGTTACTGTGTAGTTTACTGGATTGGTTTTTGCAGATTATTTGAGATGACTCTGGTGTGCCTAATTCATATCACAAAATGTTTTTTTTTTTTTCTAACAAGAATGTAGTACAGATGTATTAATTTTTAATGAACATTTATGTGCAAATATACATGAGAATCTCAATAAAAATAAAAATATAGGCATTTAAGTTTGTCCACTGTAGTGCCTAAAAGAATACCATGGCCTTTAATGAAGAGTCATTTCTATTCTAGACAAATGTTACACAAACTTAATTCCTTTCAAAATGTCATTTAGATTTTCAGTAGTATTTTGTTACTGGTTAAATTACCTCTCTGGAAGGAGTGACCAAATTTAGAATCAAAGATGGTGACAAAAGTGCAGGTGACTGGATTATGCAGTGTTCTAAAATCAGCAGTCTAATAAATGCTTGCATCTCCTTTTGTTCAGCTGCATGCATTTTCCAGAGCATGACTTCTTTATGGTTTCTGCCCTCTGTCCTGCCTTCCTGCTACCCCAACCCCGCCTCTTCTCCACCTTCAATAAAGCAAACTGAATTTTGAGTGGAATGTGATTATTGTTTTTGTTTTATTCCTTATACACCGCATTAGTAGTTGGGGGGGGGGTTGTTTGTTTGTTTGTTACAAGTGATGCTATTACTCAGAATTTGGTGACTAGAAATTGACAAATCAAATCCCACCTCTGACAAGACAGCAGAATGAACTTCTGTTGTAGCAATCTCAATGAAAGCACAATACAGATGATAGTCTTTACCTCTGGTAGGATGAGTTTAATTAAAATGTTTGTCTCATGAAGCAGACAAAATTTTTACAAAGCATATTATGATTTTCATACAGAAAACGTTTGCATTATCATCATATTCTCTTGAGAGACAGATTTTTATATTTTGTGTATTACATCCTTGAGAACCTTATCCTTTTCTGTCCAAAACTGAATGAATTAGCACATAACTGAAACCTTTTTCTTCTTCCTACTTTAGATTTGCCCATTTCTTGCCCGTTTAAGAATTGACCATTGTTATTATTCCTTTGAACTTTCCTGGTCATATATGCGTGCATATATGCATCATCTAAGAGCTTAAGTTTTACTACTGGCACAAGACGTACAATCACAATCTTTGTTACAGTTTTTGCGTTTGTGACTCTTAAGTGAGATCTAAGTATCTAAAATTCCAATCACAGCAGACACAAGATTTTAAAACAAAAGTTTTGTTTGCAGGGCAAATCTGATATAAGAATTCTAAGTTTTGTTTTAATACTTCAAAGGAGTAAATTCACTTTTAAATTTCCTCCTACAAGGAGCAAAAGAATATCTCCACCATTTGTTTTTATTCATTCATCTCCTGAATAATGCACCAAAGGCTGAAACAAATGTGGCTGCTAGATCAAGCATAATGATAGGACTGTGACAGCCAAAAGGGAGTGAATCTGAATTTTCATTTTGCTGGTTCTCTCCCAAGTTTATTAATCTTTATGGGTTTTCATTTCTTGTATCATGCATATTGAGTATTATGTGCAGATTCACGTCTTCATTAGTGCCTTTAAAGATGCTTTACAGCGTTGCTTGCAAAGTGTTAAATAAGAGCTCATAGTGATCGGTCCTGCAAAATGTGAGCTCACTGCTGTGCTTGTACTCCAGCAAAACCGAACTCCTGGATTCCTGGCATCAAGGTATTCTTCAGGTAAATACCAAACTTTGACTGAGGTATAAAATTGAGAATCTAAGTAGACTTTTTCTCCCAGAATTTTGCAGAAATCAAGTATTTCATTCACTTGGATATTTTATGTGCTTTCCTCCACTAAATCTGCTGCCCCAGAAAAAGTTAGCATTTGAGTCCTTTCGTATTCTCATAACTGGAACTTTTGAAGTAATGTAAAACTTCAGTATATATGGATGTCAAGACAAGTAGTCTAAGAGAATCTAAGCATATTTTTGGAGCAGAATGAGTGCTAATAAAGGAGGTCCTACTAAAACAAGTCCCTTATGAGTGCTCCTGGGTTAGTTGATTAAATGCCAGTGACTACCATGATACAATGGGTAAAAACTGTTTTTAAGATGGCTGAGTTGGCCTGCCTAATGTCTTTAGACATTGTTTGTCTGAGAATTTTTGACTGGATGAATGAAAACTGAGCTATTAGTGGTGCTGCCATCAATAATGGAGAAGTCTGTAGTTGAATGAGTGGAGAAGTGATGAGTGGAAATCTCTAGATGAGAGGTTTTACTTCTCTCTAATCCATGCAAAACTGCCTGTGCAACTCAGCAATGGGAAAATGCAATGTGTGAAAAGCAGATAGTGCAAGTTACTTTATTGATTTGAAGGAATGTAAAGACTGGATTATCCAAAGGTAGTCATGTGAGTGATCCACCAGTCTCTATAGCAGTGAACGTTGAGAACATTTATTACGTACCTTACTGTTGAAACCCTTTTTCCCTTAAAAAAATAGAAAATTCCATTGGGTACCTACAAGATGCAAATCTGTCATTCTTTAACAACGAATGGTACACTACTATTAGTACTAGATATCTAAACAGAAATGCAAGACTGTGTAAAAATCTGAATAAATAATCTTCTGTAATGCTTCTCAGAACATGCCGTGGGTTTTGGTCTATTAAAACCATCAGGATACACTTCTAAAAAGTTTTATGGGTTTACTCTTACCCTAGTCTTTCAACCACATTGCTTCGAACAGGAATTTTAAAATATCTTGCTCCTTAAAATAGTACTGACTTACCAGTGATGCCTTAAAAATGATAAGCTGTGATTGTAAATGATAAGATTATTTTAAAAAAGGAAGAAAAGAAAGTAAATACTCCCTGGAGAGCAATGTATCTGTGTGTGTTTTTTAAAATAATCTTAATTTCCACAGCAGTTACAAAGTAACTCACAGATAGAATTAGTATGGAAAATAGAATTTTAAATGTATATGCTGAAATGTAAACTTAGAAACTCAGACTTGATATTTCTCTTGATCCATATTTCAGTAAATATAAAAACATCCTCTCATCTCTGGAATTTATAGGACACCTCTTTTTCAGTCAACAGCACAGGCTGTGCTTTCAGTAAATTACACCTTATGAATGCAAACACACTTTTAATCTAAACCAGATTGAACTCCCTCAGGTTTAGTTGCAGGATTGTATCCTTGACAGCAGCAAAGACAAAACGAATATTTTCTGCATCTGTGGAACAGGTGAAGTGGGCGTAGATGACCTTCTCCTTGTCAGGATTCTGATCCTGATACAGCTTCAAAATGAAATCTCCTGCAGCTTTGACATCTTGCTTAGGTCCTGCTCAAAAATATAATTGGTGCTTTTAAGCAGCTAAAAACTAACATCAGGAAAGGAACACATGGTGGTATTGAACAGGCTAATTGAACATTTAAATAGGAAATAGCTACAAAGACCTTTTATTTATTTATTTTTTTGGCATTTTCTCAGGCATACATTAGGGGCAAAAGCTACTGCTTTACAAAATACATACAGCATGCTTTTTTAACAGTAAATCTTACAGTTCAAAGTAATTCATTTTAATTCTCTACACAGAGGATATTACCCAGCGTATTTTGATTGTTTGACTGCTGAAGTATCTCAAAGACCATGAAAGAAGTTTTATACAACACATATGTAGTAAAAAGGACTCTCTTTATTCAGGAAGGGGATCTTTGTTTCCACTGTAACTATTAAATTATATGATACTGTATTAAATTATGGAATACATCTGTAATTATTTTCTTCCTTCTCTTGGATAATTTAAGTTGGAAAGAGTACTTCTGTTAACTTAATAGTCATAGTGCTATTAAAATGTTAAAAGAATGGCTGCAAGATATATCTTTCTTCAATGGTTCAGTTAAAAAATGAATTAAAGCACAGAGTGGAAGAGCACAGATATGAAATATATGGAATACACAGTGTAATTCTACTTTCCCTTCTCCGTTTAGTGAGCAAAATCTAGCTGATATGACTTACCTTTGTAAGCATAGTCGCGGATGAATGCTTACCTGTGTATTCTGGAAAGTTACTAATTAGATGGGAATACATAATTTTCTCCTCTAGAAGATCTGTTTTATTTAAAAACAAAATGACTGAAGAGTTGAGAAACCATGGGTATGTAATTATGGTTTAAAATAAGGCCTTGCTTTCTTTCATTCGATTCTACAACAAAAAAATATTACGAGGTTACAACTCTCTAAAATGCAGCATGTAAATTATTAACCAGAGAACATAAAGGTTTCTTTTAAAGGCTCTTTTGTTTAATATGTGCATATGTGCATATATATGTGCATATATTTTTTTACTTTTATTAAGCAAAATTGTAATGCACTAGCTGATTATTGCTGTTTGTGTACTATAAAATAAAATTTCACTTGTTTTTGGATCACTTCTGTGAATGGCACAATGGGACAAGAAATCAAAGTAAGTCTTGATTATCAAAGTTATTTGAGGTTTTGTGTAAATTAATTAGTAAGCAGCCTATAAAAGTCTCTGTTCAATGAAAGTCCCAGCTGATCACATTAGTGGGAGGTAGGATATATCTGATCTCCCACCTTACTGAACTATTATCTGGTGATAACAGCAAGATTTGAGCAAAAGGCATAGAACAGGATCAGGGCAGGATCAGGTTGAGCTAGGGTGGAGGTGGTGGGTATGGACTAGGCTCTTTGGGGCAGTGGTCAGGGCCCCAGCCTGTCAGTTCCAGAGGTGTTTGGACAATGCTCCCAAATATAAAGTTGGTTCTGTATAGATCCAAGAGTTCAACTCAGTGATCCTTGTAGGTCCCCCTCCAGCTTGGGGTATTCTATAATTCACTCCAGTATTCAAGAAAGGGAATAAGGAAGACCTGGGAAGACTGTGGAGCAGATCCTTCTGGAAGGAACGTTATGGCATATATGAGATGTAGAGGTGATCTGAGAGCCAGCACAGCTACATCAAGGGCAGACTGTGCCTGACCAGTCTGGTGGCCTTCTATGTTGGAGTGACTGCATCAGTGTACAAAAGAAGGGCAAAAGATGCCATCTACCTTGAGCTGTGCAAGGCCTTTGATTCTCACATTACATCCTTATCTCTAAATTGGAGACGTATGGATTTGAAGACTAGCCTATTCAGTGGATAAAGAACTGTCTATATGGTCATAGCCGGGGGGCTGTTGTCAGTAGTTCTTTGTGGAGGTGGAGGTCAGTCAAGAGTGCTGTCAAGGGTCTGCCTTGAGACTAGAGCTCTTAAATATCTTTATCAACTATGCAGACACTGGGATTGAGTGTATCCTCAACCAAGATGTGTGGTGTAATTGAAAAAATAAATGGGAGGGCTGCCATCCAGAGGGGCCTGGACACGCTCAAACGTGGATCAGAATGAGGTTTACAAGGCCAAGTGCAAGGTGTTGCACTTGGGTTGAGGCAACCCCAGATATGTACAGACTGAGAGAACAATTACTTTAGAGCAGTGCCATGGAGAGGTAACTGGAGGTTCTAACTAGAAGAGGGGAGATTCATGTCAGATGCTAGAAACAAAAGTTTTATTTGGAAGGTGGTGAGGTACTGGAAAATGTTGCCCAGAGAGGTTGTGGATGCCCCATCTCTGGGGGCGTTCAAGATCAGGTTGAATGGAATCCTGGGCAGTTTGATCTAGAAGATGGCAACCCTGCCCGTGGCGGAGGGGTTGAAAATAAATCATCTTGAAGCTTCCCTCTGTCAATGGTTTATGGGCTGATTTGGCCCAATTCCATGACTAGCAGGGCAGAATCGAATCCATTCTATTTCTATAATGTAACACAGCTAAAGGACAAGAGCATAAGTACTCAGCCATACTAACAATCATGCTGTTCGTTTCAAGAGAGACATAAGGAACAACATATTAGTAGATTGCTGGTTGAAGTTCCTGGACAAATAGTTGATGGTAGCCACTTTGTTATTTACCTTTTTTTCCTAGTGTCCAATGTAAACATAACAAAATATCAAAGATGGTGGGATTAAAAACAAGATTCCTTAGTCATCCATGATCATGTCAAAAGATGACACGAATCTTTGAAGATTCATTTTTAAATTCCAATAGATAACCCTTCTGCAAGTGAAGCCAGGTTTGCTTTTTACAAGCAAGATCTTGAGGAAAATAATCTGTAAAGTGTTTGGGGACTTCAGAGTTCAAGCGGTATTAAGAGTGCAGAACATTTGAAGGAATTTGCTAACTTTCAAGAGGAAAAGCAACCTTTATAAAGAGTAACCCTGTTCCATCCATATGCTTTTCCCTAATTGCGTACAATTTTGTTCTTAGCATTGTTCCCTGCAAAATCTGGCCTCTGGTGATGGCATTCTAGAACAGATGAGATAACTCTTCTTACATTTTCTAACCTTGGAAAAGAGGTGAATTTCAATTTACTTTGTCTTCAGTCTCTTTAATTCATGCACAGATTTATTCTAAAGTGTCAGAGATTTTAATAAAGAATGATGATTAAAGGAATCTTACTTTTTTAGACTACTGCTGATGTTCATTTTCATATATCTGAAGACATACTTTAAACATTTTAAGATTGTGCTTCATTTTAAGGTAGATTCCATTTTTCTCAGGCAGGCTGCTAATTTAATATAACTTCACGACTGCTTGATGAACTTCCCACTGTAGTTCCATTGTGTGCAAATAATAATAAGACACAAAAATGCTGTCTTTTTAACAAAGCTCACCCCTTTTTCTGTACGTAACAAAGATACACCCACTCCTTACCTCACTGTCACATTCTGCCAATACTTGATCATATTCACGTAATGCCACTAAGAATATGACAGAAGTAACACTTTTGAAACCATGAATCCATTTCCTTCTTTCCGACCTTTGGCCACCTACATCCAGCATCCTATTAACAAGAAATGCAGTCAATATATTAGTCATTTTCATAAGATACTTTCAATAGACTCCAAGGCCTTGTAATAGCTTGCCTACCTGAAATACACTTGAACCACAGATATTGTATATTAGCATGGTTCTATATAATATTTAAACTTAACTGATTTGCCAAAGTGCAGCAATATTCACTGCACTTCAGTTTATGTGTACAAAGCATCACTGCTACTTGTGACAAAATACAAAATATTGTCATTTTATTCTCTGTTGGTAGATGTTTTAACAAAAGTGGATCTAAACACGGACCATTTTGCTCCTCCTCCAAATCCAATATCCCTTCTGTTCCTTCTCTGGAACAGTGTAGTCACATCTCCTAACTCAACAATCAAAACTCTCACAACTATCTTACTTCCACATCAAAATCCTATGGTTTTGTAGACAAGCCCAGATAAAATCTGATGGACCTATTTAACCGAAATATTTCCTAGAATACTTAGTTCTGGGAGGTAGTAACTGTTAGCTCATAAGAGAAATAAAGTATATTCTGATATGGCTATTAACATCTTATTAAAATGCCTTTTCTCTGCACCTCCCTCTCCCCCATTTCAGACTTTCTAATTAAACAAACAGATAGAAATACACAGTGATTGGGCTGTTTGAATTGAATAGCATTTTTCATGTAGAGTAAATTTAAAAAGTTATGTTTTGAAATACTTTCTATCATGAGAAATTTGAAGACTAAATCCAATCAGCAAAGTGCTGAAAATATATACCATACCAATTGAAAGCGAAAGCTTAAAAACCTTAGAAGTAAAGTTTCAGCAACTATTCTCATTTCTGAATACTGAACCATTCAAGAGGCAATCTTACCTAAATATAATATTATCTAAATCAAAAGGGTACTTGATAATTCCTGTAGTTGGCACTCTGACTCTAAGAATATCTTCTGAGTTGGCACAAATGAGGGCACAGCAATACAATCAATGTCAGTAAGATAACTGGAAAGTTAAATACACAACAGAAGCGAGATTAATGCACTCACATAATTTAATCATATAGATTAAAAACAAGAGCACTGACCAGCAGTACAGTGATTTTCCCACAAAAGCAAATGAATGGAAATTTCATTTTGTTCTATTGGCATAAGAACAATTGTTGCTGGCATAAAAGTATAAAACCTTTAACTTACTTGACAGCTATACTTATGATCCAGAATAGTAAAAAAATAAAAGTTCAAATGTTCTATAGAAAATCATGATAAACTTTATTTGTATAATCTTTGCTATTACTTCAAAGTAATCACAATAGCTAAGATTTGAAAACACACATCAATCCTTGCTGTAATGTAATTGTTTATCAACATTTTTTCTACCTCCTGGCACTTCACATGTGCTGTTAATATTGCACATAAATGTGAAAGGCTGCTGGATAGGATTCAGAAGAATAGTTAATGGAAAGCATTGCACACATGATCAACCTTATGTATTTTTATGTAGATGATGATGCATTTAGTTTCTCTTCTGTCCATACCATCATTCTTAACTTAGCCCTCCTTAGCCCTCCTGTACTTTTCATATGTAGCTGGCATAAACTTCTAAGATGACACTGCTGTGCTTGAAATAAATGAGCAGAGTGTGAGAAAGTCATTCACAAGGAACTGATGCAGATTACTCATCTGCAATCTATCTTCACAACACTAGACGGCAACACTTGATCATCCAAAAATGCTACCATGGCCTACGGAATTGTGTAAACTGTATTCCAAATTGTTCAAGGTAATCGGAGTAGAAACCAAATTTAAACATTTATTCTCTCTTTCTCTTCGGTGAAAGAAAGAGAATATCAGTGCATTCTCCTCCTGTTGCTGTCCAGTCGTCCCTCAATTGTGCACAAAAAAATTAAAAAGGTTTACACTTTTTCCAAATTTTCTATTGTGAAAGAGAAAATTCCTCCTCTCCAGTAGGGTCACAAACTGTTAAAGATCTCAATGATAATTAACAATGAAATAAATACTTAATTGAATTTAAAATAGAACTAATTTTCAATTTTAGTTGACTTCATAGAAAAGGATGATAGAATAGACTGTCAAGTGTTTACCTCAAATGCCCAACCTAAATGTTCCTCACTGGAATCCAACTTCTCAACTTTGTCATTTAAAAAAAAAAAAAAAAAAAAAAAAAAGAAAGAAAGAAAAAAAAAATAATCTTTCTGTTCTCCTAAAGCTATCATTTTTCATAATTAAGTTCCAGGAATACTACTGAAACATCTACATTTTTACTTACATCCTAAAATTTTGGTATAATTATGAGCTTTCTGAAATGCCTGTTTGTTGTTAATGTATTTTTTACAGCTGTTTTCCATGATTTCCCCTATGGGAAATTCAGTTATGTACCAGCTGTGCTGACCTCAGAGCTGGGAGGAATGATGTTTTCGGGACCTTCAGAAAATCTCAGATTAAATTGTTTCACTACTTCAGCTTAAAATCTTTTGTCTATTGCAGGCCAACAGAGACACAGAGCTAGATAATAAAATCAGAGAGAACCTATCTATTTACCTTCATTAGATATGGGTTCTTCTTGTGGTTATGTAGAGCACTTACTACTTAGCAGAATCCGAGAGATGATACTCCCTCCATCTGTCATAGCACTCTTGAATTCCTGGGTCTTCCCAAAGATTCTTGATTGCTTCAACTTGTCTTCTTTCCAGCACTGTCACTTTATCCACTTCCACATCTGAGTACTTTCCTAATCAATTAAGTGATTATATTACTGTGAAAAAGACAGCTGTCAGCATGCATAATGCACCCTCCTCTTTTATAATTATCCCCATCAATGAGACTAAATATCAAAACGGATCCTAGGAGAAAACAAACAGTTCTGTTCTTGAATGCGTTTAACTTCTGAAGTCAAATGACTGCTACTGAATGTACTGACTAAGCTAATACTGCTTATTGTCACCTGCTTGTGATTTATGTCTTCTGAAAGTGGACTTCTACTGAGGCCAAGAGAAACTCTAAATTTACCATTTATAAATTCACTAATTTTTAATACCAATTTAAAGCAACGATCACCTTTCTAAATGTCAGTTCCTACATCTTCTGTTCCATATTTGTCTATTGAGATACAGAAAAAGGCACGACTTTGTCACAAAAAATAATTTTTCTCTGTTTTTAAATCTTAGAGGTACTGCAAAGATCACAGAATTGCAGGGGTTGCAAGAGACCTCAAGATCATTGACTCCAACCCCTCTGCTATCGCAGGTACCCTACCATAGGTCACACTGGTAGGCATCCAGACAGATCTTGAATATGTCCATAGAATGAGACTCCACAACCTCTCTGGGCAACCTGCTCCAGCACTCTGTCACCCTTACCATAAAGAAATTCTTCTGTATGTTTGCACAGATCTTCTTATGTACAAGTTTTAAGTCGTGACTTTTTGTCCTACTGCTACATAGCACTAAGAAGAATCTGGCCTTGTGCATTTGCCTCCCACCTCCCTGTAGATATTTACAAATGTTTCTCAAGTTCCCTTTTAGTCTTCTTTTCCCCAGGTTGAACAGACCTTTTTTACTCAGGCTCTCCTTATATGGAAGATGTTCCAGGCCCTTTATCATCTTTGTGGTCCTTTGCTGGATTCCTTTTAGGAGATCCCTGTCTTTTTTAAACAGGAGAGTCCAGAACTGGACATGGTATTCTTAACATGGCCTCATCAGGGCAGAGTAGATCACCTCCTTTGACCTGGGGAGCTGGTCATGCTCTTTATAATGCACCCCAGGATGCCACTGGCCTTCCTGGACACAAGGGCACTCTGCTGGCTCATGGCTAACCTGTTGTCCACTAGGACCCACAGGTCCTTCTCCACAGAGCTCATCTCCAGCAGGTCATCCCTTAGCTTTAATGATGCATGCAGTTATTCCTCCCCAGAAATAAAGGTAAGATGAAGATAAATGTATTTCTTACTTTTAAGGGACACCACAGTATCTATTGCTCTTTATAACCACTCATCTGGGTATATACCAGCATTTGCTAGCACAGTTGAGTTCTTCTCACACTCAATAGCAGACATTTAGATTTAGTTTTTCTTCAAAAATAAAATAAAATTTCTTCCCAACCTCTTATTTAACCTTTGGAGAAGTCACAGATCTGTATGGGATCTGGGATAGCTGCATACTGGGTCTGAACTGCAAAATCTGAATGCTAGTATATGTGTTAACCTATACATGAAAAATGAGAAAAATGAGAAAAACATCAGAAAGAAGATGGCACTTAGAAAGTTATGGCATCTTAACTTTCATGAACGTGAACTTATTATGGACAACTGTAAAAAACTATGTAACAGAGATCCTAATGCCTCAAAAGCAATTCCTCCATGCTTGCCCAAATTAACAAAAAATTATGAGCACTAATTTCTTCTTTTTCATTAAACAAATTTTAATACAGTCATAATGTCTGAGCAAATTCTTCACGATTGGAATTACCTTTCATTTCACAGGTATTCTGTTACACAAAAATGTCAAAAATTCTAAAGTTTTTTAAAACCATGCATTTTTAGAATAATAGCTAATAGCCTTTAATACAGTAATAACTGTTAAATAACTTAAAATACTTCTAAAAGTGCACCAAAGTGTAAAATTTCCTGTTACTTTTTCTTGCAGTGTGTCTTCACATATAATGTAATATGTAATGATTTTTAACTTAATTCTACACACCACAGTCAAGTAAACAAGACAGGTGATACTATTTATTGAATACATTTTTCAGTTTCTTAACTATTACATAATTGTTCATGCTGAACTGCAACAATGTAAGCAGAGCTGTGCCTCTGATCTACATTTTATTTGGGTGATTTACATTTTATTTGAGAACTATATATGAGATGGATTTAGAGACTCTGTGTCCTAGTAATAACTCATGTCCATACTTTTAATCTGTCATCAGACCAAGGTGCAGAATAACTTAGGTTATGAATAGCACTTTCACTGGTCATTGAAGGAATTGATAAGAATAGCAAACTGAAGGAATAGATAAGTCTTTTCTAGCACTCTGTCATAGAGAGAACCAACAGGCAAGCACCTAGAGCAGCATTTTGACTAGAGTTGAGTTGGGCTTCATTCCATGCCCAAACTTTGCAAGTTTCTCTGAGGGGTTCATCTAAAGGCTCTTAAAAATATAACTTTGGTATCAGGTCCTTGTGAAAAAAAATATTTCATAACACTGTACATGTGGAAACCTCAGTCCTCCAATGTAGTCAAGTTCCACATGATATAAAAAAATCTTTTGAGGGGAAAATAATTCAGATTAGTCTTTCACTTGATAGCCTTTACCAAGTAAAGTTCCATTCCACCCACACCTCATTCAAATTTAAAATCTCTTGTAACTCAAATTAAAAATCCTCCATGGAATTTAAAAATTTCTTAAAGCACCATGTGATTTTATTATCATTTTGCAGTACATCTTCCTCATCCTCAATAAACATTTGTATTACTAATCAAAAATGCCTTTGGTAAGAAACGTGGGTGGAGGATATGCCACAAAAGAAAGATATAAAAAGTTTGCTTTTCCTTAAAAATACATCTTGAAGATAAATGAGTAATCTTAGTAGATTGTGTACAATAATCCAACCAGGAACTGAAAAAGGGATTAAATTTGAAATGTATCTTGAGGTGTCCTTAGTCTGACTACTGCAGCGATTGAAGTAAATGATTTTACTACAGCATTGTGTTGACATAATAAAGCACACCAGCACAAAATAAAATTGTAATAGGAACTAACTGTTCACTCTACAACAACTTTTAAGTAATATTGTTAGACACTGATATCAGCTGTAATATTCACTGTATTTTCAAATATTCTGTATTTTATTCACAGTCACAACAAATTCTTATTGCAAGTGAACCACAAATCTGCATTGCCTGGCAAAACAGAGTTACCCTCAGACTCCACAGACAGACAAATATTAGGCCCCTCCAGACTAGCAGACATTTCTGCAAGTCAAGACTTTAAAAACAACAAACAAGCACAAAAAAACTTGTTTTTAACCCATTATTGGACTTTTGCAGATTGTTGCAAATAAATGCCCTTTAATTTTCAGTTTTCATATTTCTCAAAGCTGTAGTGGATGTTACCAATAAGAAGTTATCCCCAAGAAACACTGTGAAAATAAACTGCATTGCAGTGTATGAGCAATGCATGTTTCACAGAAAGAGCAGAAAAGGTATACAAACATGAGAAGAAAAGGAAAAACAAATCTACAGACATTACAGACCAAAGCAAGAACAAAGAGGGGAAATGCAAAACAGAACAAACAGAGGAATTTGAGGGCACACCTTTGCTTCATATGCACTTCCATGTCAGATATCATTTTGTCAGACTGCCCCTCCTCTTCCACCTGTCACACAGCAACAGCGTATAATGGAGTACTGGTTGGAAGGTTCAGTCTCTACTGCCATACCACCACCATCTGCTTCTGATGTCGTGGGACAGCACAATAAAATAGGAGGCATTACTTTCAGAGCAGCCACCGTAACAGGTGGAAGCTGCAGTAATTTATTCACAGAAAGGGACACAAAGAGGCTATTCAGTATCAGAAGATAACAAGGACTTCCAGCTGGAGGTGTATGCTGCTTCAGAAAGATGATATTTATCATGACATATTTAGGTACTTCAGGAGTTTGTTGACATAGTATGTGAACAGGAAGTTGGCATCACTGAAAACTGTATGGTTTTTATCTTTATCCATCTCTACTTCTTCAGTGCTTCTCAAATACAGATCATCCCTCAATACAGAGTACATAGGAATACATACTTTTCTTATTCTCACGCTGTAGTTAAACCCACAAGTTTAATGTTTCAGAGTATAATGTAATGTGTTTTGGAAGTCACTGTGGTTTACTAGAGCCACATGTGCACTTGTTTTCATTTTATTTTTTTCTAGTTTGAGATAATGAATAGGATGCATTTGTTTCTAAAGTAATAGAATGAGAAATCATAAAATGGAAAAGAAAAAGCCCTGGGATTTTATAGTCCTACAATGAGGAAAAGAAGCTGCTGAGCTGCTGTTCCCAAGCCATATTTTCTTTTAGTGGAAATAACTGATTTTAAAAAAACATCTTAAGTTTTACTGGCAAGATATGTAAACTTCAAATTCTGTTGGATTGTTGATGAACATTATTTAAAATGGAGTCAAAGCAAGCCCAGCTGTTTAAAATAGTCAACTACTCTATACTAGCAAGTTCACTGTTTTCTAAATCATGCTGAACTACACGTAATGCAAAATGCAGCTCCCTCAGTCAGAGGCATGAATGGTATTTTTCAAATCTAAGCTACTATCAATGTACACTGGAGTTATTCCTAAATTGTGGAGCTACAAAATCACCTACAACAGTTTTGTTTGCATATTTTGAATACAGAAGAAATGGAACATGACCAAACCACACTTAAAACTAAGGAAGAGGAAGCTAGCTACTGGCTGGACTGAACACAGAATGTACACACTGCTGTTGTTGTTATCTCCTAACAATGACGAAGAGACAAAAGTTAAGTGTGTTTAGATTGGCTTCAATTTCCAAATGAAAGAACATTTTGAAAAAAGAAAATTAAGAAATTTTGCTTATTCTGCAGCCTCCTGCTATTCAGCTTTCATAATATCTTATATCTATGTGTTTGAAAAGAGATGAAATCATAGTCTGGATAACTGGATAGGAACAGTAAATTTAGCTGAAGATTAAAAATTTTCAAATAGCAGAGATGAATAGATATCATCCTGGTTGTACACCAACCACTTACTATGAACTTTTATTGTGTTGTTATTCCTGAGCCTTCTCCGTCCGTATCCATAGCCTGTAGGAAGTTTTTTTCTTTCACTGCTTCATAATTATTAGTCCATCCCCTGTCTACTATTATCATGGAGATGATAAACAATATGCTGGCTAGCAGCAAGGAAGGATAAATAACACAACTGCAAAAATACCAAGACAATCCACCACCCAGGCTGTAGTTGGCAATACAACTTTTGGCAAAGATCTGATTGAAAAACAAGACCTCACAGTCAGGTCCTTCATAAAACTTCATGGAGTACCCATTAAAAAAAAAAAAAGAATCATAGACAATCATAGGATCTTTGTTTTGCTCTTCATGAAATGGTTTGCACTTAATCTTTTGTGTTAACCTTTTGTTAAATAACAGCTTAGAGTGCATCCATATGTATGCAAATATTAGAAAACTTCTGCAAGCACAAAAGGGTTGGTTTCTGCAGAAGTACAATTATGTGCACTAAAAGAGAGCATGTACATCTACAAATATACAGGTGTACACATGTAATTTGCAGCTTCCCAACCTCAGATTTGCAACACTTGTACTATTAAGGGTGAAGGATAAAATAAAATCTATTACTATAACATCCCCAAATATAATCAAGTTTTTTAATTGGTTCATTTTTCTTCTTTGGCCAGAGAGTATTATTTTGCACACTGCAAAAATATTTGGGTTACAGCTTGAGTTAATGATCTCCATTTGAAATGGTGGTTATAATCTTTTATGGTTTCTTGTTTTGTTCTGTTTTCTTTCTCTCCTGACTACCCATTGCCATCAATAATAGTTTTAGGAAAATGTGTGCAGGAGTGAGGTAAACCTGTATTCTTTCCCATGTTTACTAACCTGCAGCATGTTTAGAAAATAAAGAGTTGGATTGGGGTGAGTGTTCATGTTCACATTTTTATCAAAGCATTCATAGCTAGCCCATATGAAATAACAGAACAAAAATATAAGAAACTAGAGAGACAGAGAGTCCCTCTAATGAAGAACTAAAATGCCTCTCATAAAACATCATTTTTCTAGCATGTAAGTAGATATTTACATGTGCTAACTTTTTAATTTCATCCTCATAGAAAATTTATGCAGCATTAAAACCTTTGGTTTTGCTAGAAACAGAATAAGATTGCAGACTCCAAACATTGCTAATGTAAGCAATCATTGAAATCTTGTGTGTAAAATTAATCAGAACCTTCACTTTTGATATAAAAGTAATGCTATCAAGTTCAAAGCTAAGTGCATGTGCAATTTTTCATTGTGTGATACCCCACTTACACACTGGGACAAGTTTCTGTTTATATCCATCTGGATGCCTACCTGTGTAGGGGGACTGCTTTAGCAGAGGGGTTGGACTTGATGTTCTCTGGAGGCCCCTCCCAACTGCTACAACTCTGTGATTAAAACCATAGGTGATGGGCTGATATGTTCCTCTGAAAAAATATTTTTCCTGATTATATACAACATTTCTGATCTCATAGACTTCAAGATCAATAAAAAGAATCTATAGAGCCTGAACACTGAGATTCACAGCCGTCACTCCTTGGAGGGAACCAAAGATGGTAGTTGTTTTGTTGATGACTTCCTTTTGGAAGTTTCTGTCACTCTAACACCCTATGTCCTACCCTTCGGGTGTCAATGGACCAAAAGGTCTGTATCTCTCCACACATTTTTCTTTTACTCAACAGATGATTAAGAAATTCTATTAAACATGATCTGAGAGTTGAGTTACAAGGCAAATAAAAATAAGTAACAATATCCTCTCAAAAAAAAAAAAAAAAAAAAAAGGAAGAAAGAAAGAAAGAAAAAAAGGAGGGAAAGAAGATGGGAGAAGAAGGAATGAAGGAAGAAAGAAATAAAAAAGGAAGAAAAGGAAGGAAAAAAGGATGAAAGGGGAGGAAAGAAAAAGAAAGAAGGAAGGAAGGAAAAGAAAGAGGAAAGAACATTAATCCTCAGAGAAATGTATGAGAATACTCTATAGTCTATGCCCCTCTTAGCATCAGGAAGTGACAAGCGACACAATTACTTTTAGTTCTCAGCACACAATCCAAGAATAAAGAACAAAATCAAGTAGCATCAGATGAAAGTATAGGAAATGGCTTGTCAAATAAGCTTATTCATTCAAATACGAGAAAATACAATAATTTTCTTGGAAAAATAAAAGAACTGAATATGTTGTTCTTATTGTAGAAGAGAAGGAGAAAAATTCTTCTCTCTGAGCACAGTGGATAGGATAAAATGCTAACAATAAACCCTGGAAAAGGGTGTAAAGCAATCTGCATTACTGGAGAGTTTTAAGA